TGATGAGACCAACTTCAATCACTTGCCGCTATTGATGGGACCAGCTGCAGCTTCTTACGGCTGTTGATGGGTCCTGCTGAACGAGAGTGGATATAGAGGGCAATAATTGGGGCTCTCATCGCTAGGTAAKGCAATCAAGTATCCTTGCTGAGGCGTCTGTTGATCAACCAATTAAGTATTCCCGCTGCGAGTGGGGCCAGTCTCAACCGCAGTCGAGGCAATCAAGTATCGTCGCTGTGACACCTGTTGGTCAGCCAATTAAGTATACCCGCTGCGAGCGGGACCAGTCGCTGCTGCAATTTGAGCAATTTGGACCAGACAGTGAAGAAAGTAAGAGGTAAGTACTAGGACGCAATTGTGGGTCGGGCTCATATTATATGGGCGACTGTATGCGGACTCACACAGTCAGGGGGAGTGGACCCCTGCGTATGATTGAAGCTTAATTTTTATTAATATTATTTATATTTTAATTTATTGTATTTTGAATTTGAAGCAACTGGCGGTGCCTGAGGAGAGTAACGAAACGCCCTCGTGCACAGGGAGAGAGAGAGAGAGAGAGAGGGAGAGAGACCACTTTCATGTATCTGGCTAGGACAACATCCAGGCGCATTTAAATATGACTGGGGAGTGAGAAAGAGGTTGGATGAGAGAAGGGGAGAGAGAGGACTCAGGGCAACGTGTGTGATCAAGCGGGTATGAGAGTGAGATGGTGCKTGCGCGAGTGTGTGTGTGAGGGAGGGAAAGTGAAAGGGAGAGAGACGAAACTGAGGAGAAGAACAACAGCAATCTGAGCTAACTGATGGCTTACTGCAGGAGAATATTTCAGCTAACTTTTTGACATGGTCTCGGTAGAACGTCCGTCATTTTTCACACACAACACGAATTCAAGATCAGTTTCGACCCGCCTCAAGGGGACTTCAAAACTGATGTTTTGAYCGTTGGGATTTCCTGCTCAACAAAGTTCAGGCATCATCCRGGCACGAGGYGCGATCGTGATTTCTWCTTGGTGACGGTGCTTGTCTGATAATATTTCAGGAAAGCCCTCATATACCGATGGAGTACAAGGGGCAGAATATGCCCCGGCAGAATATGCCCCTGATTTCAAGGGCTACTCTAGCTCATTGCAGCTAATCCCAAAATACAATCAGTTTTTCCTGAAAATCTGAGTTCTTTCAGGAGCAGCAATTGGCGAGGGCTCGGTCCCGACCTCTGGACTGCAGACCTGGGGAAAATTTTTCATTACTAAATGCCTTCCGTCCAATTACTCTCTCATCTCCGCATGCAATAAGAGTTTTCAAATTCACTTTTCAAGGGGGACCGTGACAGGCACAACAAACCCCACTCCCCTGCTGCGTCATTGAGGACCTCTGATGCGGACACGGCGGGTGACAGACGCCGCTGTCCTTGGCTTCAGCGACGAGCAGGGCCCCTCCCCGGGTTTCCTCACAGCGCGACATATTTTAGATAGAATAGGTCTAACTTTAGCGTTCCCATGTCCGCGAAACATTGTCATTCATATCCATTATTATCGGACGCTACATGCGTCCGGACTAAAGCTCGAAAATTTTTAGTTCCTCAGTCATGCGTCAGGTCTGAATAAACTTTTGGCAAACGTCGGTCCCATCAAGTCTTTTAACCCAACGAAAAGTCAGACAGCGTCTGACGTTTAAAATCCCCGGTAAATACCCTTGTCAGGGCATTTGCCCCGGCAGCGTGACGACTGATTAAGAGAGAGAGAGAGAGAGAGAGAGAGAGAGAGAGAGAGAGAGGACGCACGAAGAGGAGGAAGTAAGGGAGAGAGACAGGGAAACAGGGAGATAAAAAGAAAAAAGAAGGGAGGAAGCGAGGGGACAACGCACCAAGGAGCTCAAGAAGTGGGAAGACAAACACAGTGACAGGCGGGAAGACAACAAAAGACAGAAAGAGAGAGAAAGAAAGAAAAAAACAGAGAGAGAGAAAAAAAAAAAGACAGAGCGAGCGAGAAAGAAAGAGAGAGAGAGAGATCAGACATAGACATAACCTACCTCTTTAATAGATCGCACGCATGTCTTAACCGCATGCAAATTTTATTTTATTTTATTCAAGTTCTTTTTTTTTCCCCTTTTCTTTTGAGATATGCGCGCCATATCTACACGGCGCACGCTTGTCCGCGCCACTACCGATGGCAGAGTCTTCGCCGCACTCTCTCTCTCACACACACATGCATTGGCACACTTCATCGTGTGTGTGTGTGTGTGTGTGTGAGAAAAAAAAAAACAAAGGGGGAGAAAGAGAGAGAGAGAAAGAGAGAGAAACATAACGTGACCCTTCAGCAGATCCCACACGTGTCTTGGCTGCGTGCACGTTTTTTTTTTTTTCAAGTTCCGTTTTTTTTTTTTTTTTTTTTAGACAGGCACACCATATCTACATGACGCATGCTTGTCTCGGCTCGTGCCACTGGGGATGGCAAAGTCTTGGCCGCACTCTCTCTCTGACACACACACGCATTGACATACTTTGTTGTGTGTGCGTGTGTGTGTGTGTGTTTGTGTGTGTTTGTGTGTGTATGTGTGCGTGAGAGAGAGAGAGAGAGAGAGAGAGAGAGAGAGAGAGAGAGAGAGAGAGAGAGAGAGAGATTAAGGGAGAGAGAGAGAGTCCGACAGCGAGAGAGAAACAGACACAATCTGGCCCTTCAGCAAATCCCACACGTGTCTTGACTGCGTGCACTTTTTTTTTTTTTCAAGTTCCTTTTTTTTTTTTTTAGACAAGCGCGCCATATCTACACGGCACACGCTTGTCTCGGCTCATGCCACTGACGATGGCAGAGTCTTGGCCGCACTATCTCTCTGACACACACACACACACACACGCCCCCCCTCCCCCCCCCCCACGTGCACACACACACACACACATTTGCACACACTCGCACACACACGCACACACACACACACACACATTAGCACACCCACACACACACATTCGAATACACACGCACACCCATACCCACACACATGTTAGACATTCGCATACGTCCACAAAAAAACAAAAGAAAAAAATGAATCTCCCCCTAAAACATGGGAAGATACTCCATCCCTAAATAGGCAAAAAAAACACAAATTGACGAAAAAAAAAACGAAGATTTTTTTTG